AGTAGGAACTGTTCTAGTGACAGCAAGTGCATCTCATCCAGCCCTTTCCCTTACAGCTTTGAAAGGGCGTAAGCACTTCACTGACGTGTCTGGGCTATGCATCAAATGTGCAATAAGCCTGGTGACTCCAGGAAGAATTGCTGAATGCACCAGCCAACTATTAATGCACAGGAATATTAAAGTCTGGTTGTGGTAGGGGGACTGGGCACAGCCTGTGTCCTTCGCTGACCGCTGGCTGAAACTCTGTGGACCACCTGGCCAGAAAGACTGGTGACCACTGAGAGGAACAGGTATGCTGAAAAGGAACAGGTACTTCACACAGTTGTTCTGGAGGTGTTTTTAAAGTGCACTGCTTTTAGAATAGAATCATAGAATCATTTAGGTTGGAAAAGCCCTTTAAGATCACCAAGCCCAACCATTACCCTAACCCTGCCATCCCACCACTAAAACCCTGTCCCTAAGCACCCTGGCTGCCCATCTTCTAAATACCCTCAGGGATGGGGACTCCACCCCTTCCCTGGGCAGCCCTTTCCAGTGCTTGACAACCCCTTCATTGAAAACATTTTTCCTAATGTCCAACCTAAACCTGCACTGGCGCAACTTGAGGCCATATAAGCACATAGAATAGCAGCCAATTTTCTTCTTTGGATTAATTTCAAGACCACCTTATTAGGAGAGAGATAGATTTTCTAGCTCTTTGCTAAGCTGGATCAGATGACAAGGCTTGCTATACGCTGTTCTATTCCATACATTTAGTAACTGTCACTTGCAATCAAAACACCAATTTTTTCCAGCACTGTCACTACCATTAAGAAACTCTTGTAAATTTTAGCACGTAGAGAGCGGCAAATGCTACCTTTGCCATCTTGAACTTATTTCCTTGGGTACGTGTGTGATATTCTCCAATTACAAAAACCACCCTTCTTCTCTTCAAGTGAAGAAGCTGTTTTATAAGCAGTTTTTCCTGATTTCACACTAGTGGGGTCCAGTATTCCACCTGATCCTCCAGAACCACCAGAAGCAAACAACTTCTCTACACCTTAACAAGCTACATACTTCCTTGCCTAGAAGACTGCGGTGACCGGTACACGAAGGCAGGCTCTAGCACATTTCTCTTAATACAGAAACCAAACCTAAGGAATTTTCAGTCTGAAAGGCAGAACCTCCAGAAAACTGAAGTGAATGGAGACACTAGCTGAGAATAAAAACCCTTGTACAACACTACCACAGTTTCATGCATTACGAAACAATATTAGCTACTTTCAAATGAAAAACCCATCAACATTAATTCAGGAAGCAAACAGTAGCAAACCTTGTAGTCATGAATGATTCTCTCAGCAAATGCCTTATCCAGCATCTTTTTATACCATTCTTGCAAACGTTTGGGTTTGGGTATTTTCTGATCAGGCGGATGGCAATGAAAAATATAGTCATCTCCTTCACTTGGGGGACAGGCCCAGATGTGTCCTGTCACGTACCTGCATTTCACACACAAGAAAAAAAAATCTTAATCGTTTTGACTACCGTCTTAAAATTAACTCAGACAAACTGAGATATAAATTCAGACCTCTGGCTTCCCCCCACGCCCCTTTCTTTTCTTTCTTCTTTGTAACAAAGATGCTGAGGCAATAACCTCTATGTACAGAAGACAGGAGAAAAGGTCTGGGATATAATAATGAAGCTAAACATCAAGTGAACCTCTGATAAAAAAAATTATATGCTGATCCTGACAACAGAAAAAGCACCTTAGTGATAAAATCCAAATTTCTCTCTTCACTGCAGAAGAGGCACGTGTTCACTTATCTCACGGAGGACAGAAGGAAAGAGAGGCTACCCCAAGTGAAAAGGTACTTGGCATCCTAGATAAAAAAAATGCTAGGAAAAAAGATTTCTTTCTTTATAAAGGTCTCGCTTACCCAAGTTTCTTCACGTACTCCAAATATCCAATGAGGATTTCATGATAAACTGCAGTTCGGAGACAACGGGGGCGGAAGAAATGAATACTATCTAGATACGATATGTACACACGCCTGTAGTAATGAGAAAAGAATGACAGAAAATCATGTATGGCTGAACATCTGTTTTGTCTACCAAGAATTTACTTTTATACTAGATCCATATACAGCCATCCCAAACAAAGAAAAATTAATGACATTATTTTAATGCTTATTTAAGCAACTTAACATGGTATAAGCAGTTCTCAAAAGCAAAAGATGGGAACCATTTTTTTAGACAGCAAGAATATACACCGAGAGGCAAAATTAAATAGAGAATACAAAAAGTTGTAACGCTTTTGTTGCGATAGTTGTTTTCCCTTTCAAAGTCATCTGCAGTCATACAGTAAGACTTATTTGTGCCACAGAAGTGAAATGTTATCTCGCGAACTTTTGTCTTTAAGAGTAATTGTCCAGTGAATGTAGCGAGATGTTCTCTGTGCAGGCGCCACCGGTATAGAAATGAAAGAGTACCTTGTATTTGGAGGGGGGCAATCCGAGCCATACTCCTGCACATGCATGCCGAAGAAGCACACGTCTACTCCGTCTATCTCCTCAAATGCAAACAGAGCTTTGGTACGGTAAGGGAAAGATTCTGACATCTCACCAGAATCCACAAATCTGAAGGAAAGGGTGGGAGGAACGGGGAGGGGGAAAAAAAAACCAAACCAACAAAAAGCCAATTATTAAACCAGTGTCCTACTAGAATGAGGAAATTCTTTTTATTTTTAACTCATTAGAAACATTTATGCCGAAGTTAAATAGGGTCAGATGAGAGCTGTATTAAAACAGGGAGTCCTGTCAATGCGAGGTCTGTTACTATGAAACTCAGGGAAAGACAGTTTCCGTATAGTTAGCATATGCCTGAACAGGCAAGCATTGAGTACAAGAGCATCCTCAGAAACCACAAGCCTTTAAATATATTGCAGACGAGAAAACCTGCTGCATTACGATGAAGTGCTGTCACATAAACACTGTCTTTACGAATTAAACCCACCATATTTCATAGAATAAACCTTTTAAGCTTTTTATTTATGATGAAGCAATTTAAAAATAACTTCTGAAAGCTGAAGTCTGTATAAAAACACAACAAGATGAAGGAAGACTAAGGAACAGAATCTCAGCAACTGCTCCAAACTAACCTATGAATTCTGTAATACCAACCAAAATGTGGTCAGACTCTCTCAAGATTTAGTAATACAAAGTCACAGTATTATAACCAAAACCAGGTTGTCCCTGTTACCACCTCCAAACAGTCAAAATACAATTGTCACCTCCTCTGAGTTCATTTACTGCATACTACTGGTTTTTTACCTTTCATAATCTTACTCATACCTAAGTTTCAAAAATGTGCAAAGGGGTTAAGGTGCAAACTGGCACAGTTTTAGCAATATTTATGCAGGGAGACTTCAAAATGAAAAACAAACAAAAAGATCAAGATCACGTTTATTGTAATTAATAGAACGAACCTGGATTTCATTCCCGGTTTAACTTCTACTGTCTTATCTGAACTTGCTACTACTCTGACAAAGACCTCTCCAGCTTCAGGATGATTCTGTCGCCGCAAAAATTTGTTTACTCTATCTTCCAAATGGTTTCCTAAACGCGTAGTCTGTAGCCCTAGAAATGAAGGGGGAGAACATGACAACAACAACGTTAATACTGGAGAAATCACTGCTAAGTTCAGGGTGTTACCATGCTTGTAAGGTCTTTCAGCTTTGCTTCTCTGTACAGCAGTCGGCTTTTTTTCCCTTTGTTTTACCTCTATATGAAAATTTGATGGTTTTATTTATGCAGCCAGAATTCAAAAAGCAAAACCATCCATGTTTTTACCCAAGCCGTAAGTGTTCATAACCTAACGTGGAAGCTAAAACCACTATAGTGGGAAAATTACTTAGTAAGTGAACTAACAAAGGCGGCTTTACATAGCATTTTTAAATTTGCAGGCTTATTTTATGAACACTGCAAATGTTTTCTCCTCACAAAAACACTATCTGGCTGTTTGACAGAGATTACATCACTTTATAGATCTGGCTCAATGCCACACCTTTTCAAGCAAAGCAAAGCAAATCAACAGAAATGAAAAGCCTTTTGACTTCAATGGAGATTTCATTGCTTTTTCTTTTCTTTTCAAGAGAGCTTTTAGATTGAACAGTTACAGTAATCTGCACATAAAGCCTAAATAGTTCTTGCACAGCGATAGAGGTCTGTAAAAGTTCAAGTCCACATATTGTTTAGATCCCCTCTCTTGGTCTTTCCGTTCACAATTAGCTTCTGTGGGGATAGCTCTTTTTGTAGTATTACAGGATGTGATGGTTTTCAAATAAATCCACGACAAATTACAGAAATTAAGATGAAGATTTCGGTTTAAATTAAGAAAACAGAAGTAGCACACTGTTTTGACTTGAAGATTTAAGACTATTCCTCTTACCCTGCTGTACTTATTTTACCAACTTGTATTTCTACTTCAGTTTTATAGTCAATCTGCTATTTTTTCCAAAGCGATGGTGCAATCTACAGATGTTCGTTTCACTAAAATGCATTTAATTTTCAGCCCTCTGTGGCTTAATTTTTCAGTTGTTATTTGGCTACTGACACAAGGCTGTTCGTTCTCCTTCCTGACGACTGAGCTTGCATACAGAATGCTGCAGTGAAATATCTATGCTAAAAATTATTTTAGGCTCCAATACCGGGGAAAAAGCTAAATGTACTCAAAGGAAGATCTCACTTTCTAAGGGATTTATAGACTTATAATTTTGTTTTACAGTCAGTTTATAGAAACCGCCAATCGCAGCAAGCTTGATTTACATCTTTTAGTCTGTCCCCCTGTCCAGTGAGATTCTGTGGTTACAACCAGAACACAGTCTAAGTATCATTTACCTGGGAGCCAATAATTAAATTTAAAGGCAGGTTAAAGCAAAAATACTCGATGCCCTTTATCAATTCCAATACACTGGCCTTTTCCAGCGCTTCCCAGCCCAATACGATATATTGGCCTTTCCATACATAATAGAAGGGGGTTGATTTTAAAGGAAATTCAACGAATTTTAAAGAAAATTCACAAATATTTTCTGAAGAAATTAGCTTTGTGGATTTCTCTGAAGATAAACAGAAAAAAAAAGAAGAAACGGCTCCATTTCAGCTAATGAGTTGGCACATTTTTAGAAAGACATTTTAGTTAACTCTACTGTCTTGTTGTGTTTTCATTTTATCATCTTTCCAATGCTAAGCAACCAAAGGATATCTGCTTCCTTCCTTATGCGGCAATGCATTAGGACTTGAAAAACAACACAAAACAAAAGACCAGATAAGAAGATAAAAGAAATAAGCAGCATTAACATTACATGCACCGCTAGGAAAGGATCTAAAAGCTGCATATTTTGATATATGAGGATGTGCAAATTGTTTTAGAAAGCAGCCGGATTTTGGTTTTTGGACACCTCTAACATATGTGCTTCCAACAAAAGCTCAGGTCTCGATGAAAACTGTAGCACAAACTTGAAAAAGGCATCCAAACCAGTAATAACATAGAAGGTTTTCAGGCTGCTTGAGTACAGCGGTGTTGCAGTAGCAATGGCCAGACATTTGTTACTGGATGAGTAATCGGACAGATAGGAAGACAGTCAGACTTCTGGCTTACTGTGACTTTTTGTCAGGAAACTCCTTTGGGTGACTTATTTGTCAGGATATCTTTTGTCTTTGAATGTCTCTGCATTAGCTGGTGGTTAAGTCATATTTGTACATTTTCTTAGGAAGAAAAATACTTTAAAAGTTAAGAATTCCACAGCATAACCCAGCTGTACACCGGTTTATAGGTTACATTTGGCATGCTATCAGCCAGCTTTATGCAACTTACTTGCGATGTGGTTAAGATAACCAATTTTATTTAATATACATTAGGAATATGAACATTACCGTAACAGCTGAGCTTGCAGCTGAGAGACGTGCTATCTTGATTATTAGCAGTTGTGCCAACATGCTTGAGAGAGCATAGAAATATTGATGGCAATTCGGTACGTAATTTTACGGGGAGGGATTGGGAGAGGAGAGGAAACACGTTAATGTTTCAAACTTTCATCGCTCACATTTGGGTTTAGGTCAGTACTAAGAGCAAGGTTTTAACAAGAGCAGGCTTTTCCTTCCCCGTCCTTGCGTTTCCACTAGAGCACTGTTAAAGAAAACCGACCTCAAGAGCTGAGCGCACCAGTGGATTACAGCTGGCAGCGGAGCTCAAATCATCACGGGAAAGAGAAAACAAGATAGTCAAACAGCAGGGAAAGGAGAAGGAAAAGGAGATCAATGGAAAGGAAAAGAGCACCATTACTTCCCTGTCAGATCCCTAAAAACCGGAATGGTTACCTTAAACTAAATGCTGATTACTCAAACCTTAAGCAACGTTACAGAACAACTGCAAACATCCAAGGAATCGCATGCTTATTTAAGACAATTTACGTCAATATATGCTGTAAAGGCAGCATATGCTAGAAGAGGCATCTATTTAAAATGGTTATCTAAAACTCTGTTTTTATTTCATCATTTTATTAATGTTCTCTTACAATTTTAATCTGTCTTTAATGAGACTAATTTTAATCTTTTTAACAATACTATCGTGCATGCGTCAGGTTACTCCAGAGACCGTTTTGACTACTGTAACCCAATATGTGTCACACAGCGTTATCATCTCCAAATTATCCCCCTTCAAATCTCCTATTATGCAATCAACCACACACGAATTTATCAAAAAGTTACATTTAATGCAAACCCACTCTTTTATTACAGTTTGGAAGATTTGGGCTTGCAAAGTCACAGTACAATAAGTAATGCCCAGAACTTCCAAGGACCAAAGAACGAGGGAGGAATCAAGTGTACCTGCAAGTTCTAGTTGTTCGAGTGCCTGAATCACCCTCTTGGTTTTGACACCCACTTTATTTTTCTATTCCATGCCACTGACACTGCATTTCCAATGCTAGCCCATACTCCTCCCCTCACCCCAATGCATATGATTAAAGTTACCAAACCGTGCTCTCCTATATGAAATGCATGCAAAGAATGCCCATGTAAGGATTACCAATGAGACTGAGACAACTTAACCTGGCAGTTTTCGGCACTCTCTTTAGTGCACACTTCAACAAGATTATGACAACGGTTACTTCCAAGAAAATCTGGATGTGTGGCACAACCAGTTATTTATTCCAGCGGACAGTTCTTACACCATAGTCCACGCTAGAAGCAAGAAAAGCTCTTAAAATACATTAGTACTTGGCACTACCACAGTACACCTGAAATGCAGTACAACTTGTTACTACATGTTATTTGAAGGGCGCAGAGGTGACAGTAATTTACTACAGTTTCAACGCTACGTGGAAACGTGTCTAAATATAGCCAGTAAAGTGCATGCAGCCTTATGTTTATCCTGTTCTGTTCCCCCCTCTTTTTTTTTGAGCCTTAGAAAAATAAGGACATGGATGCCAAATACCTCAAGCAGCATTAAGACTGACCACAAACACACAGAACAGCTCTTTAAAATGTTGATTGAACTTCTGACAGGTACTAAAGCGTCGGGCTACACTACTCCCCATTTTGGAAATGTTCCTGTCTATCATGACAAGAGAAAGTCTCAATCAAAAAGCTATTAGGGGTGGCAAAGAAAAGATGAAAGTTCAAGATAAAACCAGAAATATCAAACTCACTTTTAGCACTGAATTTGTTTTCTTTGCGTGTCCTACCAGTTTTCTTCAGACAATTATCACAGACAAACCTATTGAGAAAAAAAAATGCCAAAACCTTAGCATAAACCCATTATTGGCTAGCTTAAACCCAAAGTTCGAACCCATAATTTAAATATCGAAGTACAATATATTTTTCTCTGGATTTGAACAGCTTGTTTCTCTCCATTTTCAAGGGACTTAAGGCCTTTATAAGCTGGTTTAATTCTGCTAAGCCATTACACCTGCATTTGTGTTCTGTCGCACACAAACTTGCCTCCAACCAGCTTCCATTGTTTAGGAGTTAGAAAGAAACCACAGAAATCTGCACATATAAACAAGTCGGTTTCATGCACATTTTCATCTGACTATACCCCAAGTACCAAAAAAAGTGTTTTATTTTGAAATGCTCGGTCCTTTTGTACTTAGTTCTTAAAAGGCAGTGACCATGTATTAAAAAGCAAGGGCAGAAAGTCTTAATTATATCAATTACATTGGTACAAGGTGTAAAAAAACCCCAAACATCTTACCCTGAAGGCCAAATAATATCATAATGTAATACACAAATCTGGTGCATCTTCCGACCACACTCTTTGCAGTCAACAAACCTGAGAAGAAAAAACAGCAGCCGATCACTGTTGTTGTTAGGCAGGTAATTCACCAGAATTCAGCAAGAAAGGACTTTCCAACCCTCTGCTAAGAACCGAATCAACTTCAGCAGGCCCAATTTATGTGTCAGTTTAAAAAAAAATACTCATTAGAGTAGCTTCAGATATACATCTGTCAATCTCACGTGCGAGGAAGTGGGTTTTTTTTTTATATATATATATAAATGTACCAGTTTAAAAATGTGAAATGGGCTTTCATGCACATCTTTTTCTGGATCCTTTTCTAAGCAACGTTCTGAGTTTTCCCAGCCTCAAAGAATTCTGCTCAACAATACCTCCACAGATTTAATTTTCAATTGTTGCAACAACCACAAGCTGACTAAATGGTTGCTCAACTTACTGTAAATGTAAAAACTAGTAATTCGTGAATCACTGTGCCAAGAAAACATGTATTAACTTGCCTTTGCCTGCATGGGGCTGCTGTATTTTTTTTGTTTAGGGGGGTGGGGGTGAGGGGTGGGCTTGTGGGTTTTTGTTTTGTTTGTTTGTTTGTTTTAATCAAAATTCTTTTTTTGGATGGGAAAACCATTAGAAGTTTTCCCAATCAAGACTGCAACACTGGTTACAAAGCAAAATGCACTGGGGTAGATCTCCGCAGTCTACCTTTAAAGTTCTGGGGAAGGAGCTCTATTTAGTATTTGCAAATATGAGAAAAGGAATCAAAATGTATTAGGTATCAAACGGCCAGAGAACAAAGTCGCAATAAGAAAGTCTCGTTTCAGCTAGTTAAGGACAGTAGGGAAAGGAGCACAGTGCTACAAAAGAAGGGTTCAGCTTGGCTTTTACTGAACTTTCTGAGGGTAATAAAGGCAAGGAGGGAGGATGGCTCTTTCAGTGGGCTAAGCACTCAGGTGAAGAGAAAAACCTGTTTTAGAAGTCCAGCTAAATGAGAAGAGGAAAATGCAGAGGTGCCCCATCGGTACTCGGGGCTTGGTGTGAAAGGCTCTGTATGACAGAGGGCTCTTTTCGGCCAGTCGTGCAGTGCCTTGCCAAACACACCTTAGGAATTACCCAAATAAACAGAACTAGAAATGGCCATTAAAACACGCTCACATTTTCCTCTTGGATACCAATGGTAGACATCAAGTTTGTATGTTGTGCTACGAACATTCTGCAGCCTGTTTGGGCAGAGACGGGGGAAAAAGGAAGACTTTATTCACTGCCTAATTTCTGAAGTGCTGACTAAAGGATAAGTGAATGCGATGAGCTTATCTTAAGAAAAAGAGCGGCCTGGTACTTACGGCTCTGGATCTAGCGTATCATTTTTCTTCTTTTCAAACTGATCCTTAGAGATGGTTCTAGAGACAAAGAGTTAATATGAAAACTCAGTAGTACCTTTGTATCAGAGGCTGAGACAATATCATGCTTTTCTGAATTGCAGCAAATGAGCAAACCTCAAGTTAGAAGAAAGCGTATCAGTATTTATTTTCTATTGAGAGAAAGCAATTCATAGTTCATTTCATTTTAAGCTACAGAAAATATTTTCCCCATTTCACTTTCTGTGTAAATTCAAATTAAGAGACACCCAAGTATACGCATAAATTTAAAATTATTAAGAACAAGGGAAGCTATCGTCAGTAAAGCAGCCACTTCGTATTCCTCAAATCTTAGAGCATCTTATTTTCTGGTCAGGTTAAAGACAAGCCATTGGTTTCATAAACAAAAGCCGTACTTCAAAAGGTGAGACATCAGGATTAGCCGAAGTCTTTCATTCGAAAAGGTAATGGATTAGCGACATTTATTGACACAGCTTCCACTCCCTCCCCGTCCAACCCCAGCATCCAGCGTCTGCCACCCCCCTGCAAGCAGTCTACGGGCAGCTCTGGAGTAGCACAACAGGACACAAGCGACATCGTTGGGCAGACAAACAGACCCAACACAGTAACAACTGTTAATCATCTGTTACTGTAAAAATCTCCCATTAGTAAGAAAGCAGGCATTTCCCCCCCCACACCACCACCAGCCATGGGGTTTTACAACCAAATCAGGACTACACATCATCCCTCCTATTTAAAAGGGCTGCATGCAGAAGAAAGAAAGCGACTTACGTTTGAGGCTGGGAAGGGTCATCACCCAGGGTGACATTCTCCCCCTGGATTTCAGTGAAACACTTCTCACAGAAGTGATACCTGTCAGCAAGAAGGCCATATTTGGGTGAACTGGTCCAGCACAACATACAGCCACCCGAGCACGGAGCCACCAACCAGAGCAGGGCAGATCACCACGACGGAAGGGGGGGCGTTGTTGGTTGATTGATGGGTCAGTGGAGGATGAGGAGGAACAGAGGGGAGGGGAGGGCAGGATTAGAGAACAGGGGAGGGAACAAACAGCACAGACGTAAGAGGTAAGACGCAAACACCAAGACAACACAGAGCAGAAAGCCAAGGCAAAGCACAGATTAGCATTCGGTCTCATTTTATACATTACTAACAAGTAGTCGGGCCTCAGATTCAAAATTTGGGGAGGATTAATGAAGTAGCTACCAAGCGCTACGTTTGTAGAGACTTCAAATTTAAGAATTTGGATTTGATTTGCATTACTTCGGAAAAAATTCTCTTTGATTCCAGGCTTGCGACTGATCGAGTTTCCTTTGGTTAAAAAAACCAGCCTGTCAAAAAGCTTTTAAGAACACGTTTATTACAGATTTAACTAATTAGAAAATATGCTGAAAGCATTTACTGATTGTCAGTAAAAGCTGTAGAAGCAGAAACACTTCGTATTGAAAAAAATCTGTAAAAATATTAAATTCAAAAGTTATTTGACTATAAGATTAAATGGACCAATTGCTCAGCTAATATTATTTAATATAAATGAAACCAAATCCATACTCTAGACAAACATTTAACAGAAATGCAATTATGGGTCAGAGTTTCCAGCCATTTATCTGTAAGTACAATATATGTATATATGTGAACAACATCAAATATTGTACATACATACAATATATTTATCAGGTACATTAAAGATGTGGAATTAAACTTTACAAATTGAATACGAGGCTAGGTACAATTTTTGGTCACCAGACCAAGAGCCAATCCAAGTTATACTCAGCAAAACCAATAATGCAGTTTAACAAACCAAGCTGAGTAAATTGGAATACAACTCCATGAAAATACAATCTGCATTTGAAAGGGAAAAAAAAAAAAAAATCTAAGTTACACAGATTCGGGGGGATTTTTTTGGTGGTTTTTTTGTTTGTTTCAGATGAACTGGAACCAAAGTTGTCAGGGCCATTAAAAAAAAAGAAAAAAAAAAAAAGAAAAAAAAAAAAGAAAAAAAAAGGAGGCTAAATGTTTGGAAAGGATATGAATTCACACATGAACAAAGGTAACAAAGAGAGGCCACAGCTGTAAAATGCAGGAAGGCCACAAAGGATCACCAAAATAAAGGAGCTTTACGGAGGATCAAGAGTGAGAGAGTGTAAGCAGCAACGGCAGCACAGTAAAACGCAGTTTTAGTACTCAAACACTAGAACCGTAAGAATGGTGAGTATAAAGGCATCAAACGAGACTCAATGTCACAATGAACCAACAACTTAAGGGATGGAGATTAATAAATATGGCAGCTTGCCCCTTCAAATACATACTCATACACTTAAACTACTGTAATCCAGGTGACAGATCTCCAAGGCTGTGCTTTCCTGGAGACAACAAAAGCCATTTATAGGCACTTATCGAAATGTATGGAGGAGAATTTCCTGCTGCGACACACGCTGGCCATCACGCCTCCGCTGTATGTTTTCTAAATGCTTGCGAAACCCAGCACAAGCCAGCGGGTGTGGGTCCTTCAGCAGCGCCCGATGAATCGGGGAAAGATGTTCTGCAGAGCAATCTGTGTCCTCCCCAGGCTGGAGCCAGGTCCGTGTTACCATAGCATAATTTACAAGAGCCTGAAAACTTCTGCAAACTCTGCCAGCTGGCTCAGGCTTCAAGAGCTGCTCTGCTAGCCAAGAACCACTTAAATGCAGCAGCACACTGAATACTCCCCTCTACCGTGGGACTGACACAAAGAGGAAAAAGGTGTATTTTTATTCTAGCTAATATAGCCCATACTGACATATCCGCGTAACCATCTTAGCAGCAGGGCAGCTGTGACTTTGATAGCAACCACGTGAGCCAAAATGCCATGCTCCCTGCCCAGAGGGCTGCTTGCCAGCCTACCGCAAGTTAAACTGCAAGCGACTTGACTTTTCCTGGGTCAGCTCAACTAGGATTAAACACATCACCCTCCCAAGGAAAACCAAGGCTTTTGGAGCTGATAATGCAACAGAACAAGGCCAGGAGAAAAGAACGTAGAATGGCAATGATAAATATACTATGGTTATTACAGAGCAGTATTACAAGAGAATTTCAGGAGTGGATACTGACACTGCACAGCTCGTTTACACTGACTCCACTTGCCCCTCACCCCATACCCCTAAACTGATACCATTATCATCTAATATTTAAAAAAAAAACCCAAACAGGTTCAGAATTTTGTATCCTTTTACACATTGCCCATGTCCTTTTTTTCTATATTGTGCTTCTTTAAATTTTTCTTCGATTAAAAAAACCCCACCAATTATTTTCCTTACTAACAAGGTTGCTCATTTTAAGTCAGATTGGGAAGGACTGAAACACAGGAGGACCCAAACACAGGAGCATGTAGCCAGAAAAATCCATCATCAAGGCTCCTATTAATACTTTGCTGCATTTAAACAATCCCAGAAAAGGTTCATTCTGATCCATTTGCAGAATATTTTATGGACTTTCAAAGCACTCATGAAACTGAGCAATGAGGCTGCCTTCGATACTGGATTTAAGATATGCAGCAGAAATCTAAGTAGCTCCGCCAGCACAGGTATTTCGCCCTCTGTTCACACTGCGGCTGCAGGAAGCTCAGTCTCGCAGGGATGAGCCCTTCGGTTCGGCAGCGTGTGAGCACGCGCTCCGGGGATCCGCGGATCCAAAGGGGAGCACAGGATTTCACATGCTGCAGAACCAAAGCCTAAAGCTAGCAAGAGTCAAGCCTTAATCTATATTAAAATGAAGAAATAAAAACTGAAATACAGTGAAAATGAATCACCTAAAGATCATGAATATTCGTCCATAAAATAACCAAGGTGAAACAATAGCTATAACTTACGAATATGGACCCTCAGAAATGGAGACTTGCTTGTAACTCACTGACTTTTGCAAGTCACCACAAACAGCCAACAAAAGCCATCGAAAGCATACGGTATTCTAGTTCTAACAGTCATAGAAAATCCAAAGACTGTACTTATTGCAACACACCAAAAATGAAAAGCTTTTCAAATGCAGACTGTTCAGGTGACTGATTCCTGTTTATCAGAGGGTAACATTATGGTTCAATACCAAAGTCCCGAAAATGCTCAATATCTGCATTAACAGGTGAATTTCCAACTGTAATTAAGTGCATTCTAAGGAAATTCAAAATTAGTAACTGGATGCTAGTACCTATATGAAATACTGGTACGTCTTCTCAACTGTATATTCACACATGAAGTGTATTTTCTGAACACCTACTTTAACCTAAACTTCGGCCTTATTATGGAAGCCAGACAGTTCTATACCAAATAATTAACTTTAAATCACTGAACTGTACTGCCAGAGTTCATTTATTCAGTGGTTCCTAAATATTCTTAGTTGTAATTTAGTTACGCGATATGCTGGACTTTTAAGTACATCTGATTTTGTCTGTTCTGGAAAAAGTCAAGAACATTTGACCAATTAAAGTTCTGCTGGAATCACAGAAATTGTTTTTCACTGATTTGCTACTTGGTTAAGAAAAATCTAAGACTTGGAGATCACTGTCAGAGAAACAGTTAATTTGACTGTTTTAGAGCAATACAGCTGATGAGTAAGGGCTTTCTATGATCTGATAGTCCAAATGCACACTTAAAAATATAGTGATTGACCTCTAGAAGTATTTGGTTACAAAACCCAACCCAGAAAACCATTAATTGCTCGATTTAGTTGGCCTGACATAGAAAACCTCACTGCCTTCCCCCAACTCAAACCCACCCCAAATCTCCAAACCTCAACCCTTTCTCAGGTCATCTGGATGAACAGAAACCCACACCTACTTCTGTTCTGCTACTGGCCTAATGAGACTTTGAGAAATCACCTTCCTTTTATTACTACCCTTATAGACTAAACTCAGTGTAAATGGACTATCACATTTTTAACAGGTAGGTAACTGAAATATCACATCACCAAGTCCAGAGGAACCCACTGCCCATCAACCCCGTACTTCCCGCTAGCAGCCACCGTTGCCTTCCAGCCAGTAATCCAAATGATTTAATACTAACTTAAATTGGAAAGGTATAACTGAAGAAAAATGATCCCTTCTTCAATTGTTTTTGAAGTTGTTATTCTTTACAAATACAGTACTACCTGGATGCATAATACGAAAAGTATTTTAAATTCTACCACACAGGGTTGGTATTTAATGGTTATTATTCCCCCACTTCCAGTACGGAAGTACTATCTCTTTAAATGCATTTTAATTGCTTTATTTCTCTTCAGACTGACTTTTTTCCGTGTTCGCAGCGGCTGTGTAAAACCTTTTATGAGAGCTTGTGAATTAACATTCCTCCGCGTCGATACTCTCTGCCGCGCAAAGGCCACCTAAGACCCAACATACAACGTAAGACGACACATTTTCATCTCCCACTCCGCACTGCTTCAGCTAGGTGGTACACAACAGCCTTGCACCATCTCACAGCGTGTTTGGTGAGGTAGGGATCGCCCTAAGAGAGACTAAAGGCAAGCACCGACTGTCTGAATTAGTGCTGTAACTTCAGCTAGACAACAGCCTGCTGCGCACTTCAAAGTTGGCAAGAGTTATAGACTGCCAAGCCTCTGGAAGGTGATTCATAATTCTGTTTTAAACAGGGAAAAGGAAGTTTGTGTCTTAGCCCGTTTATGTTTTGCATTTTTTTTGGGGGGGGGAGGAAGAGGAGGACATGGGACAACAACGTCTAAGAAACCAAACCCAAAGCCAAGTTCTAAGTTTGCTTTGTTATTATAGCACTGTTGATTTAAGCATTAAATGGAAAATTAATATTATAACAATTGTTTAATAATCATACAAACACTGAATCCTAATAGTAATTAAAAAATAATAGAAACTATTGTTTTCACAGCTTCTCATGGAGTCCCTGGGTAGTTTTCAATGCCAATTCGAAGTTAATTTAAATAGAATTAAGTACTAACTAGGAAGAAAGAATGTAAATCTTGCAATCAATCACTGTACCCTTTACTATGCAAATTCTGACGCTAATTTGAAAACAAACCTGCATGTTTTTACAATTCTCCCACAAGAAGGTAACATGATTTCTCAGTGCCTTTTTGCAGTTCTGCCCTTCTCCCTCCAGCAAGCCCTGCTACTCATTTCGCGGAAAACACAGACAACTTCACTTCCCCTTAACGGCAGCCTAGCTACCAGCAAGCCCTTCAGTACAGCGTGTATCAAGCTGCAGTACAGGAAACTAAAGGGTCACCTGCAAAAGGACAGCATGCAAAGATATAAAAATAACTGACTTAGCTGACACAGGAAAGAAAAAGTTAATAACCCTCCTCCTCCGTCTGTGCAGAGAACTCAGAGGATCTCACTTCCTGAATAAGGGGAAAATCCCAAAGTCAAGGACTTACCTATTCTGGTAACTGTAGTAGGCAGCATCACGAGGAATAGTACACAACTGCTTGCCGTAGCAGCACAAGGTCTGTGGAGAAAACTCATACTGCAAAACAAGGGTGAGAAAAGAAGCTTTAAAATGTAATCTTAGGTTAATCAAGTATCTGTTAGGCAAACCTGATGCTTACGCATATCGTAACACATCGTTGTGTGTATCACACCTCTCCAAGCTGTTGTAAATATATTAGCACAGCTCTCAATTTAATTACAATTATTAACTATGTAAGCTAAATGGCTGACCCTCTAACCACCTACTTTATTGCAATGGACATGGGAAACAAGCAAAGCATTTTAATACTGCTTATGACCAAAAAAGGTGTTCTCTGAGGGAGAAAGATACAGTAACAATTGAATAGCAGCAAGAAGGATGCTATCTACCTTTTTCAGCTCTTAGCACTCTTATAATAAAGCCAAACTTTCACCAATCCTTTCATTCAATGTTTCAATTTTTAAAAAAAGTCTACAAAGCATGTGTTTTATCTGACTAATCAAGCTAAGCTCTTTGGAAGAACACAACTCCATCCCTGGAATACTTACCTTGCGCCCACAACAGTAGCCAAGTGATTGCATAACAGGATCAATTTCTTGTTCAAACACCTCCGCGAGTTTAGTGCAAAACTTGTAGACTCTGGAAGTCTTGCGATTGTAAAGCCAGGCATTGTTAAACATTAGCCAAACATCGTCCACGTATTGCCAGGGTTCCTGGTACTGCCCAGTATCCAATTTACGTTTAATGGTTGAAAGATCCATGGGATTCTTCACAATGTCGAAGTAGTCCTTCAAACACACACACAAAAACCCCTTTATTTTTAAGATGTCAACTGTTCACACTATGTTGTACAGAAAAGATGAAATGTTTATATGAGCAAAGACAAAACACAAAAACGTTTTGTATTTTTTTTAACCAACTCACCGGAATCCCTAAAAGCTGGGGATCCACAGGCTGTCTGAAAGGTAGAGACTCTGGGTCCTGCCGATACAAAGCTTCAAGGGTAGGCATGAGAGCCTGGCGCAGCTCCTCAGGTTTGAAAACTGTTAATGAAAGTCAGAAAGGTTAGAGAATCTCCATCCAGGTTTCCTAACCTCTTGACTCACCCCCAAACCCCCAAAAAACAACAACAACACCCCCCTCATGTTAACATAAAAATCATGGATGAACCTTAGCTCTTCAGAGAAAAGACTAAGCGTATCTTCCTCCCCCTCCCTTCTAACCGTCTTTGCTATTTCCAAGCCAAGATTCTTCTAGCAAAAAAACACCGTAGTGGACAGGGCCGAAGAGCCAGCTCTACAGAGAGTAACCAGATGTCTTGATAGCTGGCACAGGCATTTTCTGGCCATAGTATACAAACAGTCCTGGTCTTATGGGCTGTTAATTGATTTTGAAAGTGTTAATACTTCCAGATTTATATGCATCATTACAACCACTTGGCAACAGTGGCATGGCAACAGCCATGTTGCTTTCAATAGTGGATGACAAGGACAAGAAAGGCAATGCATTTTCTGAAAAATAATGATAACTTGGAGAGCTCTTTGAACATCTCAGCAGTGTAATTACATTTATTTCCTTAGGAACAGAGTCTTTAAATAGGGAAGAATGCCTATTATTCAGAAAAAAAGACAACTAAGGAAAGCCGGATGGCATCTAATATTTATCTACCTGGCTGAAACGAGAACGATACCAATAAAAGGGAGCAATTAGGAGCTCTGTTGAAAGCACTTCAATCAAAAGGGCTACAGTGACCCCTTCAAGGCTGATCATTGCTTCTGTCACTCAAATAGTATTTTGGTAAGATATAAATTGCTTTTTGGGACTTCTACTTAAAAATCCGTGATTTTTAAAAAGACTTCTTTTTTTTCCTTTTTCATTTGTGCGGTATTTCTGCGAGGAAGTCTTTTCAGCTCAACTACACTCACTGGATTTACACACAAAAATAAAAGACAAGAAATTAAGTTGACACTACTCAAAAAATTTCTGAAGCATTAAGTTCTCAATTTTTTGTAGCCATTTGTAGACACTGCAGCTCCTGGAAGATGAAAGCTGTAAGACTCTTTGAGTGTACTGCCTCTCACTGGAGAGACGATAGCTGCTCACGTAGACAACAGGCAAGATACCACCCAAGCCACCTGAACCATGGCGAAGGGCTGAGCCAGCTGCCAGAAGGGCTTCTGCCAGGGCTTGCCTTACAGATGCAGCACGATCTCGTGCTGCTACTACCGAACTCAGGCTCGCCAGATTAAAAATGAGATGAGCCAAGGAGGCCGATGTTTGCTATACAACAACGAATGCAACCTGATGATCATTTCAGCTGTTGCCATGATCTCAGTCCTGATAAAATGGCAATTCTCTTCCATATTTAGTGATACCATATATGCAGGCACTTTCCTATGAAAGGAACCCTACCATATACTCTTAAAGATTTATGAACAGCTACTAAATTGTATTATGGAATTCTTGAGAACAGAAGGAAATATTAAATTCCATTCATGAGAAAAAGCATTCTCTATTGCTTCTGGAACTATCTTGCTCTGGCTCAGGTAGTTCATAACCCGATAATCTGAATTATTTCATTTAATGAAATGTAAAGGTCAAAAAGCACTTTTTAATAATCTATTTTGGCCACCTGGCTTGACATTGCTTTTAGAATTTTCCC